CTTGGTAAGGGTAAAAACTAAAACTGCCAAGACTGAGCAAAGCAAAAAAAAACCTTATTGATTTAACTAATAAAACTTTTTTTTTCTTTTTAAACTGTTATTGTTAATAGTAATAACAATTGATTAATTGATTTAGGAAGGCTGGGAAAAATATGTGGAAAAGCATTGCTTTATTGAGAATACTTACTATACAAAAATTGACGAAAGAATACCAGATTCAGCACAGGAAAGACAGGATCGGTTAGAAAGTTTTACTACTTTTGTTCGCATTTATTTTACTCCTTTTTTTTTGTTTTTCTTAATAACAAAAACAGTATTTTTTTTAGATCTCTTTTTTTTACCTCGTTGATAACATAGTAAATTGTTGCAGTAGTCTTCAGAATAATAACTAAGAAACTACGAAATAAGTAAACGAAGAAAAATTTTTATGAATAAAAAAAGTGGGGGAAAAAAAGTAGGATGACATATATACTTAATGTAAGCGTTATTGATAGGTGAATATTTCTGTTCAGTATGTTTGCGAAATAAGAAAATTTTGTTAACAAAGAAATTTGCATATCAATGAATATTTTTTTTTTTTTTTGCTTACTAGAAGACGATTTGAAAATCTATAGTAAAACATTGAAGAGAATATGAAAATAACTAATTGGTTGAAGATGATTTGACATAGAATATGGCTTTTTTTTGTTTTTTTTTAGAGAATTAGCTTATTATCAGTGGTTACCTATAATACTGATTATTGAAGCTGCTTCTTGTTATGCTCCAAGAATTGTATGGAAACTGTTCAATAAGAACAGCGGTAAGCTATCATTTACAATGTCAGCACTTTTTCCTACTTTATCATTTCAAGGGAAAGTAATATGTTAAGTGTTTAATGCAAAAAAAAAAAAAAATTAAGAAAAATAAGCAATTTTGTTTGTTAGAATTTTGAAAACTATTTTTTTTAGAAGATAAAAACCAGTTTTTTGATCATTGATAGTTAATTGGAATAATTTGAATTAAAAGAAAACATTTCAAATGTTATCATTTTCAAGGGTTAAATTTGACCTCTTTCATTCCACTCTCTATGCTGACAACTAAGGGTAGCCGTGTAAAAGATCTGAAACTGAAGGATAACGTTACGGCACCATTGGTTGAACATTTTCAACGAAACATTCGACTTGCACACCAAAGTAAACATTTTTATCGAACAGTAAAATTTCAAATACTTCTTTTTTTTCTTCATGTTTAAATATCAAATTTATGCTTTAATAAATTTAGAAGATAAAAAAAATTTGTTTTTTTTTTTTTTTT